TGCGAGACATTTTTGGGACACCCTGTATACATATACAATATTCAACGTGCAAAGTAGAATACTTAAATTCTATCTTCTTGCTGATTACGTGGTAGCTCTAAAAAGCTACAATTTTAATATCAGACACTCTCAAACAAACGGTGAAGTAACAACTAAAGAATGAACGCTAAATTCGTCGATTTATTCCGCGAATAACTTGAAACAGTTTACGATTTCAAACTGCACAAACTTGCCACAATAGTCGCCCGAATAGTTTTCCAGGCGAATTTACCGTTGACACGTTCCGAACCAAAAATCCGCGTCGTTTCAAAAGGGAACCCGAGAGAAACAAGCAGCGTGTCCAAAACACGGTCGCTGGCAAGGTAAACTTTTATTAGGGAAAGTCGGGCGGCGTGTCCCGGAATCGGCAGTCGACACATCAAAGAGTAGGTTGATCGCGAGAAGAGATACGTCTCGGGGCTTGATGCCTCCTCGAGCTTCCTATTGCGCGTCTCCGTCTGCTGACCCTATTCCGCGGCGCATTTGCTGCAGAAAACTTTCGAAAGGCGAGCGAGTGCACGGCGCTTGCCGCATTTACCGAGCCGCGTCGCGACAACGTCGTCGGCTTCATCTTCGCCTTCGTCTTCGCCGTCTACACCGCCGTCGCGTCGCGATCCGCACAATGACACGAGTGCCGGCGGCCTCTTCTTCCCGCTTGCGAAACGTGAAGCATGCACTCATGACACCTCTTCGAGGCCGACGTTGGGCCGTGTCGAGCGGTCGAGCCTAGAAAAAAGGGACGCGAAGAACCGGTTGCCAGGCGAGTCGCGACTGTGAAACGAGCGTGCGAAAGACCGTTATCGCCGCGAATCCTTTTGTTTCTCGTTCCGAAAGACTCGTAATTTTGACGATGCTATAATTGAATTTTCCTCGATGTAGTAGTCGCACCTACACGTTTTGGAGCACCAAATGTCGTTCGAAATGTTCAAATATGCATGGTTACTGAGACAAAGACCGTCAAAGTTGACGATTTATATTCTCGTGCATGAAAGTTTCTTAAAAATAGTAACAATGTTTCCCTAGTAGTAATAATGTTTCTCTAACTGACGCTAAGATTGTGCACAAAAATGGACAATTTGGGAAAAGGAAATACGATTATTCAAGCCTTGTAGCTCGTTTTTTATACTTGTTGACAATTCGTAATTATAAAAACGAACCGCAAGGCTCGAATAATCGTATCTCATCTTCCCAAATTGTTCATTTTCGTGCACAATCTGAGAGTCAGTTAGGGAGACATTGCTGTATTCTTCGACTTGTAAATAAAAATGGACAATCTGGGAAGAGGAGATACGACTATTCGAGCCTTGCGACTCGTTTCTGTAATTATTGACAATCGATAACCATAAGAAACAAGCCACAAATAAAATCGTATCGAATAATCGTATCTGCTCTTCCCAAATTGTCCATTTTTGTGGACAACCTGAGCGTCAATTAGAGAGACATTACGGTACTATGATAATAAACGTTGTACATAAGCGACGCAAAATATTTTTGAATTGAGTTTGCTGCTTCCCTCCTGAATATGTCCGAAATCGTTGCCACTTTATATCATAACGACAGAAAAAGTTGGAATAGTCATCGAAAGACTTGCTCCAACGCGACATCCGATCGAAAAATGTTGCCCGTTTTTGCTCGAATGTTACAAAATTCGAGTTCAACGTGCCAAGTACAGCTTATCAACGCTCTCTGTAATTTAACGTCAAAGACCTTGAAGTTAAAATTATTATATTGAATTTTCTATTTTCCTTATTACATCGCGAATTCTATACATTTGCGGGAAAAATGAAATGCTGAAATTGAAAACAGTGAAACGATTAAAAGAAAAAACTAAGGACGTTGATGTATTAATTTCAACTTATTAAAATTATTTCAGGAAGCGAACAACGTTCCACATAGTGGACCTACATCGTAGGTCTTGCAATTGATGCAATCAACTTTGATATTTTGCATAAAGATCCGCGGTACACTAATTATATAATTATAGCTAAATATCGGGGAATTATTGATATTCGGCAGCCTCGAGACATTTGACAACCTCCGACAAGCAATTTTTATAAAAATCGTACGAAGCTATGAACTGTGACGAACTTTTTGGGATAAGGTACCACTGTGTGACGTTCCGCGGATTATCCATCCATAATCCAGGGCGTCGACGACGTCTACACCGAATCCCTCGCCGTTCGAAGACGACACCGTCGAATGGACGGGGCTAACGAAGTTTGAAAAGTGTATCGCGCCGAGTGTGCGTTGTAATTGAGTCTGACGGGGTCGTTTGACGGTTGTGTTCCTCATGATCGCCCTATTTCCGCCCGACTACCGACGGCACGCCAAATTTAATCTCCCGCTCTGCTTTTAATCGGAAACTTCGTCGTTTCGGCGCGCTGGCTTTGCTAATGGGATTCGAAACGGTTGGGAGTGTACCGTTGCCGGCGATGACAACGCTTGGGCGCAGCTTTCTTTGATCAGCTCGGCTGAAAGGTAACAGTGGCGCCTGTCTGATTTGGTTAGCACGAGGAGGTGCCCTCTCCCGATCGGTTCCTAAAGCCGAGGAGGATGTCCTTGTCATTCGGAAAGGATTAGCGAATTTCGTAAGATGTTCGACGACTCGATTTCGACGGCATTACACCGAATTGCCACCGTTTGTCAACATCTCAACATTTCGCAGAGTTGTTTGAGCACTGGCTGGCTCGTCGGTGAAATAATATGTTCGATTAACTCTTAGCGGACGACGACTTTTTCGGCCGAGCCAGGTAGCAGGACGAGGCGACTTTTGCAAATATGTCGAGTGTCTTATATGGTACAATAAAATGATCTTACATATAAATTATCTTACAAAAACGTTATGTTTCGTTAGTTTATCTATATTCACACTTTTATGAATATAATTTTACACAAATTATGATTTGCAGTTTCGTTCGGTGTGATAGTTTATAAAACATTGACCAAGATGCATTCTTGGTTTATCTGGACATGTATCACAGAAACAGGTCGTCTCATGTCTTCCCCCTGGTTTGTTTCGACTGGAACAAACTTTACAATCTTTCTTCGTGCCAGTAACAATTACATGCAGTTTCTCGTTTAGACGAATTTCGTCAGAGTTGGATGTCGAACTTGAAGATCTATCTCGTGGTTGACGATAATCTCCTCTCAATTTGTTGATCAAAATTTTGCGAAAGTTCAAATGTGTAACTGGCTGTTCGTTTCTCTGTCTTTTTACATGTTTGTAGAGAATGTACGAATCGATTAAACAAATTTCCAGTCCCCGGAAAAATAATTTGCGCCACCACTTCAGGGACTTTC